CAAAACTTGTTGGAATGGTTGAACTGGTATCCAGGAAGCTCAGGAAGTATACGCAATGGGCGAGACCCCTTTCCACCAGTCGTATCAGCGCTGCTATTCACGTCGTCAACGTTGATCGGATACCCGCGGGCGTGAAGGTAGCCTATGGCGCTCAGGAGTACGTCTGCCCCAGGGGCACTGCGATTCAGTGCCGGAAGGAATGCTACCGCAACGCCCTCGGCATGAGCTGCGAGCACATCTCTTATGGCGCCTTGCAATGCTCCATGAGGGCCAAGCTCAATCAAAACATCCGCAAAGACGTTGGCTCCAGCAGCATCTGCACGGAGACTGGCCTGTGTTTGGGTTGTGCGGCTAAAGCAGAGGCCTGCCAGGGCATCGGAGAAACGCACTGGGTTCAGGAGATTCTTGGTCCAATAGTCGATGGAGAGACAATCGCCTTCGACTGCTTCCCCCGTGACGCTCGAGATCATGACCACAGGTGACCGAGGTGGCTCGCTCGGCGCGTGGAGCGTACCCACCAGACGGACGTATTCGTCCGCGAATTCCTGCATATGCGCAGAGTGATAGGCATTTGGGACCTTGAGCTTCCTCGCGAAGAGCCCGTCAGCCTCCAAGGCTTGCTTCAGAGCTTCGACTTTATGCACATCACCCGAGACGGTGCTGCTGCGAGGACTGTTGAGACATGCCACAACCAATTCGCCAGAGAGTTGGGCATGAATTCGGTCAAGATAAGGGGCGAGCGCTTCTGGACCCAATCCGACAGCAAGCATAGCGCCTTTAGTCTCGCTCGTCTGCCTCCCGGTGACGAGTCCACGGAAATAAGACGCTCGCCAGGCCGACTCGCGAGTCAGAAGGCCAGCAGCGTAAGCAGCAGCAATCTCGCCGGAGGAATGGCCCACGACACGACTGGGACGGATATTCCACGACTGCAACAAGTCCACAATCGCAACTTGAAGGGCAGTGCACGCCGGCTGAGCCAAGGCTGCTTGATCAAGACGACTATGTTCTTTGTCTTTGGCGAGCTCGTCGAGGAGATCCCAGGTGCAGCCACATTCGGTCTGCAAATAATCTCTGCACGCAGCCAGACTCTCACGGAACACCGGGTAGCAGAGTAGCTCACGTCCCATGCCATACCACTGTGCTCCCTGGCCCGTGAACACAAAGCCTACGTTGACAGTAGTGCGAGCCCGCAGCGGTTTGGGCAAGGGCGAAGCCAGACGTGTCTCGAGCTCGTCCAGCGACCTCGCTAATACGTGACTCCGCCAGGCCAGCTTCGAGCGCCGACTCATTGTATGGGCAAGATTGTTCAGATAGGTGAAACTTTCGGAGTTGGATATCGATTTAGGCCTGGCATGGAGGAATTCTGCCTGTGTTTTTGCTGCACGACTGCACCCTTCTTCATCGAAAGCAGAAAAGGAAATGAGCTTTGGCGGACTCTCGATTGGATCGAAAGCCCTCCAGTCTCCGGCAAGATCGATTGTGCGTTGATTTCCCAAGCCATTGGTAGGCTGGGGTTGGATCCCATTGGCGAAGCTATCCACTGTTTCCCCATTGGAAGCATGGACGCCATTGCTATCTCCAGCACCGTTGGGATGGCCGTTGGTGTGACCATTCACATGTCCATTGGTGATGTTCAATCCATCGCCGTTTACGAGATGGAGATCTGCCTTGGTCGGAGGCAAAGGTCGTGTATAATGAGTCGCGGTCAACCCTCGTTCCTGGAGATAGTGGAAAGCATCATCGAGAACAACATGGCCGTTTGTACCGCCGACTCCAAAGGAATTGACAGAGATCCTGCGCAAGCCGGTCGTGGGCCAAGGCGTTGGTTCAAGAGGGAATTGAAGCCGCCATTTTGTTGCCGGGATCTTTGGATTGACTTTCTCGAAATTGACGTTTGGGGGGATTATGCCATTCTCAAGGACAAGAACAGACTTGATGATGCTGGTGGTCTTTTAGCGGTCTTCCAACAGTCATTCAATACACAGACGATAAACTTACGCTGCAGCGCCTGCCGCGCCCTCCAAATGGCCAATGCCGGACTTGCAAGCCCCAATGTATAGCGGAGGGAGATTCTTTGGCCGAGCTGAGAAGGCTCTCGCAATTCCATTGGCTTCGATGGGGTCACCCGCCGCGGTGCCAGTCCCGTGCGCCTCGACCATGGCCGTATCGTCGACACTCAAGCCTGCCCTTTCATAGACCGTCCTGATCAGCCTTTCCTGCGCCAGACTATCAGGGTTGGTCAATCCAGGAGTTCGGCCGTCCGAATTCACACCAGTGCCCCGAATGACGGCTCTTATAGAGTTGCCATCTCGAATGGCATCACTTAAACGCTTTACAATGATCGTCCCGACTCCCTCTCCACGAGCGTAGCCATTGGCACGGTGATCGAAGCTAAAGCATCGCCCATCTTGCGATAAGAATCCTTGATAAGACATGGAGGCCACATCGTTGGGGTAAGCCAAGACGGTGACTCCGCTGGATACGGCCATGTCGGTCTCGCCACTACGTAGACTCTGGCACGCCTGATGGAGTGTCACTACGGAGCTGCTACAGGCAGTATCGATGGTCATGCTGGGACCTTTGAAATCGAAAAACCAAGAGACTCGGTTGCTGAGGACGGAGTTGGTCAAACCGGTTGCGCGATATCGCAAAGGGCTCTCCGCATCCGCATTTATGATGGAGAGATAGTCGTGATTGAAGCCCGACACGTACACGGACGTGTTGGATCCGGTGGCTTCGGAGAGTGGGATTCCTGCATTCTCTAGAGCATGGTAGACGTTCTCCAACACCAGACGTTGTTGCGGGTCCATGCAAATGGCTTCGCCTTTGGTGATGCCGAAAAAGGGTGCATCGAAATATTCGGGCGCCTCGGCCAAGAGATGCGCCCCTTTGACTGCGTGTGTCCCGACTCGCTCATTGTCTGGATGATAGTGGCCGGCTCCGAAGCGGTCTTCTGGCCATGGTGTATGTGCGCTTCGTCCTTTCAGGAGGAATTCCCAAAAGCCTTCGACGGTCGAGGCTTCTTGCGGAAGCCTGCAAGCAATGCCAACGATGGCGATGGCCTCGTCAGGCCCGTGATTTGACATGCTTCTTTTGACAAAGACACACGACTTGTAAGCCAAGGGAGAAGCTGCGGGCTGCAGAGGAGGAGAAGAAGAAGAAGAAAATCGAGGATCACATGCAGGGGAAAAGGTGTACAGTGCACTCCAAGAGATGCAATGCGACAAGAAGAAAAGATGTTTGCCTAAAGCGAACGTTTATGGTCGCAATCAACAGGCACGGGCAGCGGAAATCCACGTGCGAGTAGAGTGTCTACCTTGTTCGAAAGGATGCCGTGATTCGACGGAAGACAGAGTCGCATTTCTCCGCATGAACTGATGAGTATTAATACCAGTAGGCCCTCCTGCCCACAACGACCAGGATCATGCAGTGTTGGCTGTGTAGTGAAGTACTACCCAGTAGTAGGCAGTAATAAGTCACTAAGTATATAAGTAAATTATATATATGTATACATACATATATATATATATATATATATATATATATATATAAGTAAAATTACTACTTTATTATTATACATGATTAATATTTTAATCATTGTTATTATTAAAGCGTATAATGAAAAGAATAAAAATATTATTATACTATTTGTAAAGGAATCGGCCCTATGAGGGTTAAAGGTGTAGCTAGAGCCATGACCTTCAGCAGGGATTACCGCTAGCCAATTGCGCTACGAACCGCAAAAGGATCCATACGAACTGATCGTGCTGACCGGCCAAGTTCAAGCAAGCTATATAAGGCCCGATCCGTAACATACCCCTTCTTTCCCGCTCTTCCCTTTCAGGGCCTTACCCCGCACTCCCCCGCGCTCTTTGCGCGCTGAAGGCCAAGGAATTAGAACCCCGATCCCTTCTGTAACCCGCATTAGTTACAAACCGGGTTTGCACCTAAGACGTTCACCTGTGAAGGATTCGGGCCTATATGGGCTGAAGCTATGGATAGCTTGAGCTATGACCTTTGGTGGGGGTTGTGGCGAGGTGATTGTGCGACGAACCGCGAGAGGATCTGATATGGGTTGAACTTGCTGATGGGGTAAGTTCAAGGAGTGATATAAGATGTGTGGAGCTTATAGGGAGTGGGCAAAGCCTGAGTTATAATAATTAAAAAAGTTTTATATAAAGAGTTTATGAAAGATAATTACTTGAATTATATTGAGGATTAAGTAGTATATAAATTTGTAAATTATTTTACTTTTATATATTTTTTAAATCTTAAAAATGAATACTATATAAATAGTTTTCTTTAAATATTACTTCTTATATAGCTTTTTACATATATTACTAATACTTTTAAATAATATAATTGATTATATTGTGTAAAATATTATTACATAATGTTTGTATAAATATATTGAAGTAGATAAAGTATATTAACTAGCTATAAGTGTTTCTAATATAATTAATGAATTTTATAAATTATACTTATAGTTTCTTTAATAATTCACACTCAATTTAGCAACATAATTATTTATTTTTAATATAAGTTATAATTTATATAACTACTGAAATTATAGCACATAATTGACTTTATTGTTATGGAAGGGCAGGATAGTGGGGGTAAACGCAGACTTTTGGCCACTAACTATTTTAATTAACACTCGCGCTGATTAGTCCTTGAACTTCACATGACCTGGGGCCCCTGCACCTGCCGCAATAGGAAGTAAGCTGATCTTTTCCACGTGCTAGCTTTACAGTACGAGCTGCTTTTTTTAGACTTACTAGGCCGACCCCCTCTGGATCCTGTACCTGTACATGACGAAGCGAGCCAAGCATTGATTGGTGGCTTCATGTTGGCTGTCGAACGACACATGGCGGCCACGAATCCTCCCGGAATCCCTTCAGGTTCGCATGTGGGAGATGCATTCTACTTGCATTCTCCTTGTACAATAGCTGAGTGGGCTTCTTCGGAAGATCACCATCAACCTGTCTCCAGTCTCCGTCATGGCTACCATGGGCGACGTCTGGGTTGGCCTGCCATGGCCAGCACAATTGATCGCGACCTGCCTTGTCCTCATTGCAACGGTGTTGATCACGACTCGCCTCACTTCGCTGTCCCGTTCATGGCCAACGGCAGCAGGAACAGGCCACGAGCCTCCCATAGCGCCCTACTGGCTTCCGGGGATCCAGCATCTGGCAGCCTTCCTTCTCAATCCTGCCCGCACTTTCCAGACGACGCAGGCGAAATACAAAGATTCGCCTTTCACGTTGCTCATGGGGGGCGTCAAGTTCCACGTCTTTGGTTCTCCGTCTGCCGCGACCCATGTCTTTGCACGCTCGCGCATCTTTGCGTACGAACCGGTGACCATGAGCATGCTGGAGAATGGGCTGGATCTGCCCGTGGCCGACCGAGTTCACTTTCAAATCGGCCTGGATCGAGCAAGCGGTGAAGAGAATACCAAGGGGTTCGTGCTGCAGAACCATAATGTCTGGTTGCGATACTTGTCAGGCGAGCCGTTGGACGACCTGATGCAGCTATTCACACGCTACTTCCACCAAGTCCTGGAGCAACAACTGGACATGAAGACGAGAGGCTGGCAGACAGTCGATCTGTACCAAGTCCTGCGCAAAGTCATCTTCGACACCTCTGTCCTGACCTTCTTCGGTCCCCGTCTTGCTCCGATATGGGGTCCTACCATGTGGGAGGACTTTTGCCTGTTCAACGACGCCACCTATATTGGTGTCAGAACCAATTTGGCGTACGTCTTGCAGCCGCGGGCGGGCCGCGCGCGGGAGAGAATGCTACGCGCCTTTGAACAGTGGTTGACGCTCCAGTCAGACGGAGACTGGCCGGACAAGGACAAGTATTGGAACGAGGAATGGGGCGCAAAAATGAATTGGGAGCGTGACCATCTGGCGCGGCAATTCGGCCTCTCCCTCCGTGGGCGGGCGACGATGCAGGCGAGCTTCCTGTTTGCAATCGTTCTCAACGCCGCGCCGATGGGTGCCTGGTTCACGTGGGTGGCGGCGAGTAATCCGGATCGCCTGGCACAGTGTCGAGCCGAGTCGTCCAAGTTCTTGCGACCGAGCAAATCAAGCCGCTTCGATCACGAACTGGACATCGACGCCGCGCAAATGAGAGGCAGCAGCTTCATGCAGACGTTGTGGAAGGAAGCGTTACGCATTGGCACGGCGGCCTCGCCAGCACGTGTAGTCATGGAAGACACAGAGCTGGAAGGCTATGTCGTGAGGAAGGGCAGCGTGGTCCTCATGCCCACAGCGTTGCTCCACCACAGCGACTTGTTCCCGAGAGCAGACCAGGTGGACACGGAAAGGTGGACAGGCGAGGATGCCATGGTCCAACAGAGGAGTAAAAGTATTCGCACGTTTGGTGGAGGTATGGGCATGTGTTCTGGACGGCATGCGGCCGAGCAGGAGATGATCGGTCTGGTCTCGAAGCTTATTACGCTGTTTGATATCGAGTTTGAAGACTCGTGGAAGAACAAGTTCCACTTCGACCCAAGAAGTCTCGGTATTATGCATCCTGCAGGTCCTCCCATGGTACGCCTGAAGCGGAGAGTATTGTGACAAGACTTTTGCTAGCGGCATGTCGTACGGGGACGTGTACTAATCGGAAAAATCTACTACTATTCGGGGCACTAGATACAAGTGACGAGAGCCACATCTGTCTTAATAACTCGATATTCCAGGTTTGATTAGCTTCTTGGTGCCAGCCTTATATTATAAACTTGTTGTAGCTTCAGCGACCTCTCGAATCATTCTCGCAATGGTCTTCATTTCCTTACGACCTCTGGGAAAATCATGCCCACTGCCATGATGGAACTCGCGTGCTTGGTCGGGATCACAGAGTCGTAGCAAATGGAGACCCTGGTGGGGATCGCTCTCGTCGCTCTCGGTGCCCCGGATGTGCAGCGTGGGCAGGTCAATCAGCGGCGAACCGTCTGCGGGAGGTTCCCATCTACAAAGGCCATGCGTGCCGTCGGTTAGAAACGTTGTCCCATCGACCAACTTCTTGCCCTCGAGTTTCTTGAGCAACGATAGTAGTTTTGCATGGTCGACCTGGTCCTGATCGCTGACTCCGTCCTTCTTCCGCAGCGCACTCGGACGAAGAAACATGGCCTCTGCCTGCTCCGTCATGGGTGCGGCATCTACGACGACGTCCTCGATGACTTGGGCGTCCTTCATGGCAAAACAGCGCAGGGGAGATGCTCCGTTGATGAAGACGGCGAATCGAAACGGTCGTTCCATGGCAAAGGGGTCATCATGGGTTGCCTGAGCCAAGATCTCTGCCGCCAACGCAGCACCGCCTGAGTAGCCCAGAATCCCATCGAAGGGGCCCTCCTCGGCTATGATCCGCGCAAGGTCGTCATGAGTCTGCAAGATGGAAGCAGGATCAAAAGGGTTGTAGTATGTGTAAAGTGGGAGATGTGAGAATTGCGCCGTGTACAGCGACCAGTTGCCTTCGGTATGTCGAACCGTGCCTTGCACAAACGTCCACTCAAAGTCGTCGAGATCTGCACGGAAGGCTGCCGTCTGCGCACGAAAGATTTCGTTGTTGGAGCCTCTACCGTGAAGGCAGAGGATCTTCATTGCAAAGGGAGCGGTCGTTTGCCGGGTCTCACTCGTTGCCTGAACAGTTTCTCTCGATGGAAATACGAGAAAAGGTGTGATCTAGAGCACTCACTCATGCCATTGACACACTCACGGATCGCAGATGCTCGTGACTAGGGCCCAACGTACTAAGAATGATACGAATTTGAATCCCACGGAAAACATGAGCCCACCCAAAGATGTAGATATCACTAAACGTACACCCTCCCCTCCCCTCCTCCTCCCGCCGCCCCTCCCGCCGCCCCGCCCCCGCCAAATGTGGCCTCCGGTCTTGATTGATTTGATTGATTTGACTAATCGCCAAATCCTGCCAGCTGCATTAGATGAGGGAGATTTTACCATGATTCATGTGGAATCAGAAGGCCACGTTGCATTGACTGCTGCTGAGTCCACTGAGGCTTATGAATACGACGAAACACCTTATTGATAAGAGTACGGAGTACCATGAATAATACTACCCCCAGCAGCCTCCGTTTGCATGCTCATATAGAATTATACAAGGGTACCCCCATGTGTATGGCTTTTATCTCTCTGGTAGTTTAGTAAAAAACTTGTAATTTCCTTAATTAATATATTTTAAAAACAATGTAAAATACTGTTTTAAAAAACTTTTACCATGGTTAATTAATGTTTTTATACAAAGAATATAAATTAAAATATTAAAAAGATAAATAATAAAAGCGCGCTAGTTAACTAATAATGATATAAATTCATTTATATTTATAGCCACAATAATAGGCTAAGGCAAAAGTAATAATTTTATATTTTTAGTGTGTTATCAATTACTTAAAGCTTCCAAGTTATATTTTCTTACTTTTAAGATTTAAATAAATTATTTAATGCTATCTTTATAACAATTCACATAATAATATCTACAGCTTTTGTTCTATTAGGACCTAGGTTATAATTGCATACAGTGTTGTTAAAAAGAGTGGGTTGTTATTAGGGGTTTCCAATGTCAGCCGGCATGCCTAGAATTGGCCACCTGCATGTATTTGTTGCAGCACGTATATTGGTAGCTGCATGCAGCTCGGGCCGACCTCTTTGCCCCTAAGAGATTTTACTGCTTGCAGTGGGGTTAATAGTAAACTGACAAACAATTAGATACCTTGCTTCAAAGGGATATGTAGCCACCGGCCGAATTGCGATGCTCCGCATGTCCGTCGCTGACGCCAAGCTCCAACTAGCAGGTTCTGGCCCACGACTACCATTCCTTCGAATCCTGCCTTGCAGATTCGCTGCTTCTGAGTTGCACGAGTTAAACTGCTCGTTGCCAGCCGCAAGCTCCGTGTCTTGCACAAGGTCTGAGCAGGATCCGAGCAGGATCCCCGAAGAGACGCCTGACAGGATTGGACTGATGAGGCTGCATGATTGAGTTAGACTCGACTACTCGGCGCACATCATCATCGTCAATGTCATTGTCTATTGTGAGCTAAGCTACAACAACGAGACTTGCATCAATTTCCCCAAGGACCGTTGACCAAAACGCCTCGACATGGATGCCCTCACGCTGGTTGCCGTCGTCTGTCTCCTCGCCACAGGCCTCTGGGCATGGAGGAATCTGTACTATTGGTATTACAGCAATGGCCTGATGGAGTTTCTGGGACAACGCATCATGGCTGATCAAGCCCCGAGCGGCCAGCCGCTCAAAGTCCTCTGTACCAATGGCCGATTCCCATCGGTTGACATGCAGTTGAAGGGCCCCTCAGTATTTCAGCTCCTCTCCTTTGAGAACTGGACCTATCCAGATGCCACGTTGGCTGGCTTCTACTTCATCGGCTCCTTTGGCGTCTCCTGGGCCCTGATCGTGCTGGAGAGCTTGCGCGCTTACAATCTGCACAACTTCGGATCCTGGACCACTATCCCGGGGTTGCTCATGTTCAACCATACCCCGGCCATATATCTGCCTCTGTATCTCGGTGTGCGGCTTGCCCTGATGACTCCGAGCAAAATGACACCGTCAGACCTGGCGATTGACCCGGTTCAACTCGTGCATTTTCCTTGGGCCTTTGCCGTCGGCTATGTGGCGCCGTTCATCTTGATGTTACTTCCCGACCTTCGCATCCGTGATATAAGCACCAAGCAGACCGTCGCAGCTTGGTGGCAGCAATGGCCTGCTTATGTCGCCCTCTGTCAACTTCTGCTGTCTTTGATCTGGCGCCCAACAGTGCTTCCATCGCCTCTGCCTACAGAAACCTGGCCGCATGTTCAGGACGTGTACATGTTCCTCTTCGTGATGGCCGCCTTGTCACACTGGCTCTCGCTATTGGGCGCCTTGGCAACACGCGTGACAATGGCCGAGCTTTTCTTGCCGGCCTGGCCTGGAAAGGACAAGAAGGCACGCCACGGGTGGGAAGCAGCAAAGTGGTGTGTGCAATGGGACGTCGTCCTGGATACGCCCGCCATGATTCTATGGGCCGGTGTTCTGTATTGGCAGACGGGCGCAGCTATGGACCCTTCACTTTGGCAGCGTCTGCTTGTCAACTTTTTGTTCGCGGGGCCTTTGGGGGTTCCCATTGGCTTGTTGTGGGAGAGGGATGCAATTGTTCTGAGTGGCTACTAGGTAGAGCAGTCTTATAGCTATGTAGCTATTGTTTAGTCCTGATAAAGAATATCGTGGCCATCTTGTGATCCTCTGAAGTCACAGTATACTATAGTGATAGTGCAACCTCTCACATTGCCGCGAGACTCAGAGGTACATGTAATCATAATCCAAATACATAGAATCACTGAATCACCAACAATTGACCCCCAATGGTCGTTCCTCGACAGTCTGATAACAGCGGACTTGAGCGTTGCCTGTCCTCGCTACATGTACTAGTGGTCGAAACTGTGGAGACTATGCGTATATGCACGTGGAAAGTTTTAGCAGCTACATGTATATAATGTACCCCTCGATCTGTACTTTATCCAGTTGATGCCACACTAAAACTCCAAATCTCATCTACAACGAATCTGACCTCAACTATGACCAACGACAGCTCCTGGTGGAAGGATGCCATTGGGTACCAAATTTGGCCGGCTTCTTTCTACGACTCAAACAACGATGGCATGGGAGATTTACCAGGAATCATCAGCAAGCTCGACCATCTCAAAGACTTGGGCGTAGACTTGATATGGTTATCACCCGTGTACGACTCACCGCAGGCAGATATGGTACGGCACTAATATAATCTCTCGAGCAAGATTTTAGACATGTAATGGCTAATCTATGTGTTAGGGCTACGATGTTCGAGACTATGAATCTATTTGGGACAAGTTCGGGACATTGAAAGACATGGACACGCTCATAGCAGAGGCAAAGTCTCGTGGCATGAAGCTCATCATGGACCTGGTCGTGAACCATACGAGTGATGAGCACGCATGGTTTCAGGAGAGCAAGAAGTCGAGAACGAACCCAAAGTCCGACTGGTACATCTGGCGTGATCCCAAAACTGATGCTCAAGGCCAGAGGAGGCCGCCAAACAACTGGCGCGCCGCATTCGGGGGCAGTGTGTGGACTTATGTCGCGGAAAGAGACCAGTATTATTTACACCTCTGCCTTGAGAAACAGCCAGATCTCAACTGGACAAACCCGGAAACAAGGGCCGCAATTTATAGCACAGCAGTTGATTTCTGGTTGCGACGTGGTGTAGATGGATTCCGCATGGACAGCGTCGTCGCTTTCTGGAAAGACCCTCGTTTCCCCGACTCTGAGATCACAAAACCAGATCAAGAGTTCCAACCCATGGAAGGCAAGTTCATCATGAACGGAGCTCCCGTACATGACTGGTTGAAAGAGTTACGAGCTCGCATCGAGGAAGATCATGGGCCGGATGTCGTCCTGATCGGAGAATTACCCGCCACTGGGACTGACGAGATTGTGCGCTACATCGACCCATCTGCGAAAGAGCTGGACATGATTCTCGACTTTGACCACTTCATGGCCGGCAACGATTGGCATGCTGAACTACATGAGCGCACACGGCCAGCGCTGCCGCTGCTCAAAGATGCCATCATCAAACAGCAAGGCTTTATGCAATCTGGTTGGACCAGTGCGTTCACCGAGAACCACGACAATCCTCGAAGTGTCGATCGATTCGGCCCCGGCGACGGCGAGCATCGCAACGCCGCATCTAAGATGCTGGCCATGTTCTTGTGTACTCTTTCGGGGACAATCTTCTTGTATCAGGGGCAAGAGATCGGCATGACCAACATTGACGCATCGTGGACACGAGCAGACATCAGAGACGCCGCCGGCCTGGACTACCTTGACGAGGTTGAACGAAAGTTTCCGGGCCATGTGGCCAAGCAAGAGGCTGCGCTACAAGGCCTGCGCCGCCTTGGGAGAGATAATGGCAGGACGCCGGTACAGTGGTCGGCTGCTCCGTATGCTGGCTTTAGTGGCGTCAAGCCATGGATCAGAGTTATTGACAACTACAAGGCGATCAACGTAACCCATCAGGAGAATGACCCTGACGGTGCGCTGTTTTTCTGGAGGCGCATGATCAAGACGAGACGCCAGTATAGAAATCAGCTCATCCGTGGCCGGTTTCAGGTACACGACAAAGAGAACCTGAAGACGTTCACCTATGTGAAGACTAGTGTCGATCCAGCCGAGATTCTTTTGGTGGTTTTGAATTTCGGGGATGAGACTGCTGATGTGTTTGTTCCTGATGACGTGAATGAAAGCAGCATGCGACTCCTGCTGTCAACTTCATCAGAGCACCCCCTGGACACCGAGCACGGCCGGCGACTTCATCCCTGGGAAGGCAGGCTGTATAGTTGTCAGAGGAAAGGAGCCGATGTGTAGCCTGTAGCTTACAGTACCTAGGTAGGTAGGTCGAAGATGGCAGCAGGCTGATTATGCGCAGAGGACGTTGTTCTCGAGCAAAGACAGGTCCTCATCGTTTCAGAGAAATGTTGTCACACATTCTCCCTTCTTTTACAAGGTTAAACGCAATGTTGTCCACTAAATGATATTACCCAACTCCTTTCATATAATGCTATAGAGTGGAATATGTAATACTATATAAACTTATAAAATATATTAAGTAGGAGTATTAACTATGGGGTAGCCCTTAATTAATTTATATCTGCAGATCTTATAAGATATATATAAATAAGGTCCTGCCCTTAACTATTTAACTAGATAATTAAGCCCTTTGTAATATACTTTAACATACATATGTTATATCTAAAAACTACATGTAGGTCCCTCTCGGGATTGTAATTCTCGGTGCCACGTCCAGCCATTAACTCTATATATGTCCCTTGTCGAATTGCCTCCTCCCTTAACTCAGTTACTCTGTCCCACAATTCTTTGTATGTACCTTTGGACTCTCCAAACCAGAGCCGGTGGGTGGGTCCTTGCCGCTGCAACGAGTGCGCCATCGAGGCATCCATCCTGGATCTCCGACCACCTGAAATCCCCCATAGCCGAGATGTAGAGATGGAGCAGGTTTTGAAAGGCCACGTCCTTGCCGTTCATACACGCGGACAACACAAGCCCCTCGAATTGTTTCGTAGAGTTGATTAGCCAATACCAAGTTTTGATTTGATCCAAAAGCGGCGACAGGAGACTGATCTCGGGCATCGCTTCCTGTATAGAGTACCTCTTGCTGAAGGCCTCGAGACTAAAGCGTAGTAGCCATTTGTTATTGAGATAATTGATGAGATTGTCCCGGAAATCTTTGCTGTCGTGGTCTCTTCTGAACTGTGTATATGCTGTTATATTCTGCGGCAAAACTATCTGGAGGTGGACCTGTATAGAGCCTAGCACGAATTGTCTCGCATCGCTGGTCTGGAAACGAAGTGTGCTTGACGTCTTGTCATCTGCCAAGAAGTCTTTGACGGTCTGATGTAAAAGTTGGACAATGTAGTGCGGTTCAACGTGATCTCGATCGTCTTGAGGACCGTATCGCTGAGTCGTATCCCTCATGACTTCTATAAAAGGCCCGCACCAAGTGTACAGTATGCTGCGAAACCCAGCCCACGTTTTGAAATAAGATCCAGTGGCCTGCCGATAATCCTTCTGCGACTGCAGTGCATTTTGAACGTCTTCGGGGATCGCCAGTGCATCCCACAGCTCTTGTATGGTAAGCGCCCGTACGAAGCTTGTACCACTTACCCACATGAGAGCTTTCCTTGACCTTGCCAGTTGATCTTTATCCAGTTTTTGCTCTAGCTCCTTGATCATGTTTTTCGTAGTATTCCATGAGATCATGTGGGAGAGAATGGAGCAGCTTTTCAAGCTCCTCTAATGTGACTCCACCGGTGCGGCAATGCTGCATGAGCTGGTTGATGATAAGTGTGACCCAAAGAATAACGCCTTTGGCATTGTCGGCTAGGTGGGTTCGGATGCCATTCATCGCATCTAGAGGTCCCTCCTCGAAGATTTCATCTAGCGGCATCGAAGCTTCAATGCTGCCGTTGTCCTCATCCCATGATTCCAAGGATTCCATGACTTTTTTAATGGCAACTAAGCCATTATCAATAATTCGAAGAACGTCTTGCCTGTTTTCATGCTGAAGAATGATCTTATAGCACTTTTTCGAGGACACAGTGCTTTCAACAAGACTATTGAATCGCATGACTATGTCAGGGGTAGGTCGGCTAAGCATGATGAACTTGATCCGAGAACCGGGTATCAAGGCGAGTGCAACAAGATTCCGTAGAATGGTCGCACGGGTCCTCTGGAAATTTTCGTTTGCTGCAGACTCGTCCAGACCGTCCAAGATGCATATGATGGGTATGCTTGATGATACGATGCTTTTAATAATGCATTGAAGATCATCAAAAGACCACTCCCCACTGGAGCCATCTGGTTGAAGCCGCCGCTCCTGATAGCAGGCCTTGCAACAATTGAATGTCTCCTGGCTATCCTTGAACACCTTATAAACAATAGATCGGAGCATGGAGCTATGAGCCATTGTTATTTCTCCATCCCGTCTGCTGTAAAACCAATCCACAACTATGTCTTTGACGTCCGCCGCCCTGTTAGCATTCGGCAGTGACTGCAGCTTTTGGAGCAGGAATTTCGCCAGGACGGACTTTCCGCTTCCAGCTTTCCCTTCGATCCACAAGACACCTGAATCCTCTCTTTGGAATTCCTTGTACGCATCGTGAGCGAAAATCCAATCGTTTGTGCCCTCGTCAGCAGACGCAACTTTATCTCGGCGAAGGTGGATGGCTGCGAATCTGAGAGACTCCAAGCATTCTAGATGTGTCAACATCTCGAAAACAATAGGGAATAAGTGTATTCGTACCAGTATATTCCGTATTTTTGTTCACAATTCTTGCCTCGGGGATATGCCTGTCTATCCCGATGGCTGCTGTGCCACTTATTAGGACCGGCATACTTTTGCTACAAGTTTCCAGAAACTTGGCCAGGGAACTGGTGGTGCTTATGAAATCCGCGTTGTCAATGACAAGCATAAATTTTGTGTCCCTAGGAAGAAAAAGCAGCTGTCTGAAGACTCTTAACACATCCAAGGATGGCGACATCCACCCCGTAGCCATCATCCTTTTCAAGTCATCAAGATCATCGCTGTTATCAAGAAGAATCTTCAAACTTCTCTTGAGCTCCGATACGTCATTCTTAACAATCTGGAAGTATTGCGCAAGGAGCGTTTGAATGACCTGATTCGGATGAGCATACGAGGAGGGTTTGGTACCGAGAAGGACTTCGGGTGTTTGGACACATAGCCCTGAGAAATAGAGAGCTTTCAAGCTTGTGCGGGCCGCCTCAATCCTATTTGCTACGTATATCAGAGGACTTGACTGGTCTCCAACTTCGCTGCGGTGCCACAGCACTCCCCGTAGCTCTCGATACCAAGCGACATATGGACTGGTGTGCGTGAACCATGTTGGATGGTCCAGAGGTAGTGCCGACGTAAGTGAATGTTGAGTCTCTAACTCTGTTAAATGTCAACTATTAACGAAGGTTTTTGTTCTTGAGCGAGGAAAATAGCAGAAGCTCAACATTTTGGAAGAAGGTAAGAATATCTTTCTTAGGTGATGCCTACCTGATCGCCAGTCAAGTAGAGGCTGACATTTCGACACCCATTGCATCAAGTCATCTAGCAGCATGATGCCACCTTAGCTGAATGTTAGCTAGGCACTCATCTCATAGCGAGTCATATAAAATAGGAGACGGTTTAATCACTAACCATAGGCAGGGCTGCGTTTAGCAAGAACGTTGCGACTATTTTCAACAAAGCCAACTACAACGTCTCTAACACGATCGTATTCATTTGTGCCAGGGGCGAATTTGTTCATCATAACGTGATTACAGTTGAGGTAGGTGCTTTGGAAGCCTCGAAGTGATGCAGAATTTTTATCCACTATCTAGGGGAAGAATAAGCAAGGGAATTTTCACTGACATAGGTATGTAAACACAACTTACAAATCTGTTATAGTGCATGTATTTGGCCAATGACCGAGGGAGTGCCTTTTTGGCGAGATTTGTCTTTTGGGTTTCGTAGAAGCAGTGTATAGGAATGGAGAAATTGTCTGAGTTGACGCTCATGGCAAAATCGTCAACAAGTTCTTTGAGGTGTGCGTTCGTTTCCTCTGCAGCAAGATTTTCGACGAGAGCACGGGAAGTGTCCTCGCTGGTGAGGTTCCCATATGCGATCAGCCATTGTGCTTGTCTCTGCATCGGTGTACCGTTGAAGGGCGTTCCCAGGAATATAATTCCCACTATCACATCTCGTAAATAAGAGTATGTACTCGTCTTTGAAGCTGCGGAGTGTAGGGCCTATGCGATGCGATGCGATGTCAAGTGTTAGTTGAGAGTCTATAAGCGTTGTGGGCATTAGTCGGATGGCGCAGAAAGACCTTTGCGATTACGAGCCCACCAAAGCAGGACGCAATAAACAGTATGGGTCGATGCACTGGTTCACGCCTCTATTCATAGAATTAGCAAAGCCATGATCAACAATGCACGATGGGTATATCATCTACATACTTGGCGTCTTCTCCCATGGATGTCTAACCAGAGGACTTGGGCAAGATCATGGAGCGTTAGATCCACAGCATCGGTATAGAACTTGGCAGGCCAGTTGTATAGCATGAGGCATGCGCGCGGAACGGCCGCGGGGAGCATATCCTTGTCACGGAGCCAGTTGATGGTCTGCCCGTTCTGAGACCTGTATTCCCATGTTGTTGGGGCTGAGGTGTCAAGCCCGTGTATCGCAATGATATTATATATGGTAAGGAAGCATTCAAATTCCTCCAGCTACATTGAAACATACTCAATATTCGTTGTATATAGATTGTCATCTGGGGAGTCATGGTCGTCCGTAGAAAGGCAGTCGTGCGGATAGACCTCCAAAAGGCCTACCCAACCTGGCAACTTTTACCATACCATAGTCAGCACTTGTAATCTCTAACCAGTTTTCTTGAACCCGCTAGCGACTCACCAATGTCTCCATCAAGTTTGTGCGAGGACCCAGAATGTTAAGAATGCAATTACGAGGGATCAGATATCGTTATTGTTAGGACGAAAGCGCTCATGGCGATCAGCCTCATCACTGGCTGGCACATAATCCCAGAGAGCACGTGACAGAGGCTGCAACCGATGACCTATGGCAATTGCTACAACTGTTATTTGTGCTACTGAAATATATAGCATGACATTCGCACATGTGTTATTGCAATACTAAAAGTCTTTTATTGTAGTCTGCGTATCACATCTAGCCCTTCAACTTTATATGACGAAACTCAGTAGCCCTACGACAAACCAGTCCACAATAGGTATCGCAAAGTACACACATACACAATCTTGCATATTACTACTAATACAGTTGAATGCAATAACCAATCTCGACGCCATGTTATAGTCTGGCTATTTAAAGCTATTTAACTGTACCTCTTCTTCCATACAGGGTACCATATTGAATTCATGCAGCATTTCAATCACCATTCCATTAGGATGATTCAACTGTCCATCGTCAATGTTGGTCGAACGTTCAGATGTTCTTCAAGTACGTCCTTCAGTGAGCTTTGATGTACTGTGTTTACATTCAATTGCTAGATTTATTTTGGAACAGCACTCAATAAGTCAACCGTATAAATTCTGTATTTTACAGCTTCTATTTAACGGTATCACAAGTCTTACTAGATAGTCTAGACCAAATTGATCACATCTTCTGTTTAGCTGTCACAACATGTTGTCCAAACAACACAGCGTATTAGGGAAAATTGAATAAAGCCGTGCAGTATTTATTAAAAGGTTGGTCTAGTAAGTCATGCAAGGGTTCTTGATGTGTCTGAATATAGGTCGTAATCATTTTACCTCTACACTCGATCATGCAGGACGAGCAGGCCTATTTATAGGCAGGACAACTGTATCTACTGCCCGATAAAGTGATCAAGGGTGACTCGATATGTTTGTATTCAGACGCTTCACATATTCATCAAGGAATATAATCAACATTCCTTAGGATAACATTGTCGGTCGAATGTGATTTAAGGGTTTCCAATATGTTGCCAATACGACGATGAAGATTAAACATAGATATAAAGGTCTTAAGGTTCAAATCAACACCATTATGAGAGCTTTTTGATGAAGAAAAACCCACGAAGTAGAGAAGGCGCCATATACCATCCCGTCAGTCCAGTGTTGGTCAGACTAGTTAAACATTGGGCAAGACGGCAAGACGAAGATAAATCGGCACAGTCGACCCATTACACCAGTCCAAGAAAGGTTGCAAAAACTCAAAATCCGCAATACCTTCACAACACGACATATCATCCTCGATTTCCCGTACGGGATAGGCGAAACATTCAGAGGAAACCCCTAAGATACCCTCTACGACGATCACCTCAGCTCAAGACACTATCTCGACTAGCTAAGCCGGCCAACCATCCCAGCTACGAAAAGTAAAGGATTGCCGTCTCCAACTCCACGATAATATAACGGAAAAAGATGTTCACATCTCCAATTTCTTTCCCCCAGTCTTTTCCCCCCAGACCCCTCTCCACATAGTTCTTTCCCTTTCGCAAAGCTTCTCCTCGTACCTCCGAGGACATATACTAACCCAACAACTACTAGGTAGGCAGCCGTATAAGATTATTGGAGTATAAGCAGCCACAACGGCCGCGCTACAAAGGCCTTCCCTGTATGGTGTCTCATACTCGTAATCAGCTCGCCTCAATGAGCGTTGGTTGGTGCAAACATGTGCTTTCCGTATAGCAAGTTCTCGCCAAGCGTGCGTGGGGAAAGTGGAGGGCGAAAATGTTGGAGAAATGACACTTCACTCGCACGAGCGGTCCATGTGCTTTCAAGGAACTGTGGGTAAGAGGACAGGCTTTTTTGTCAATGATTCGTGGCTTGCAAGGTACACGCGTGTTTTGATCAGAGCTTTGGCGCAATAGTGCAAAGTTGAAAGATGAGGTTAAGGACTCTCTCTAGTTCCATCTCCGCATCTAAGAGTAAGACGAATAGTCCTAGAACGCTTTGCAGCTTTGCTCTCAACAGCACAACAGTAAAAAAACCATTCCCAACCTACGAGATACTCATCACATTCCAAAGAGGAACAAAAATTCAAACCAACAACCAAGTTCCCCTCATTCATCACGATCATTCACACTTCTTCCCCCAGCTCAAACCCCGCTGATGATCGCTTATAGCACGTTGATTAACCGCTCGGAAGCTGATCCGCTCGGCCAACTTCCGTAGCTCCGGACTCAAAGAGCGCCTTTGCCCCAAACAAGTAAGTTCCAACGAGATGCCGGCATGGGGTAACCGTGGCTTAATATCTGGCGCCATGGTTTCGATTATGGAGAAAAACGACGGCTGTCGGCAAGGAGATGGTCGGATTTGTTACATAAACTCAGTCGATGATTGGTAGTAAGTTGGTTTGTTGCTGTTTGGTAACCGGAGAAACAAGAGTCATGCATAAAATGGAGATGATTGAAAGAACAGGGTACCATGTCAAAGTTGACCAGATTTCTTTCATTGCACTTGTATAATTCGTTACGTTCGTAGCTAGTAGACAGTCTAGACCCTCGTCTATATGCGAGAATTGCGAATGCGTCCTAATGCGTCTACGCCTTCTCAATTTGCTGCACGTGGCCAAACTCCTCTTCCGCGGCCCGCTGCTTCTCGTCAACAGCCATGTCCTTCTCTTCGGCATCCTTGTTGCCGTGCAGGCCAATCCTGTACCATGGTAGCTCGAACAGGCGATCCATGCTCTCAAGGGTGCGGCCACCGGTTTCGGGCACAAAGAACCATACCCAGATGCCGCCCACAATAGTGACGGCGGCAAAGCACCAGAAAGTGCCCTTGGGCGAAATTCCACCCTGCGCGTCAGGAAGCAGCATGACGGGCACCGCTCGCGAGTTGCCGTATTGGTTAGCAAAGTGAAGGGTCATGGCCCACGATGTAGCCAGGGCACGAACGCGCAGAGGGTACAGTTCGGCAGTGAGCAGGTACTGCATTGAATTCCAGCCAAGAGCCCATCCAGCGCCAGAGACATAGATCATGGCAATGGCGCCTCGGCTGGGACCCTTCAGACTCTCGGGCAGGACAAAGCTCTTGACGGTGCCAAGCTCGGGCACAGCAGTGAGGAATCCAGCGACGTAGATCATGGCCATGGCCTGCAGAGTAATACCAATCAAGAGTGCGCGCTTGCGACCGATGACATCGACAAGGAAGAGGGCGCAAATCATTGCCGACGCAAACTTGATAAGGCCAAAGACGGCAGTTACGAGGAGAGACTCGTTAGTTCCAGTAATACCCAGGATCTTGAAAAGATCCGGCGCATACAAGGTGATGGAGCCAGCACCGGACCACTGAGAAAGCAGCTGGACCATGGACGAGAGATAGACTCGGTAGAGGTTGCTCTTGTCAAGCACAAGTTCCTTGAGCTTGCCAAGCCAACCAACACCTCGGCTGGCCTCCAGTTCATGATCAAGGCCAGCCTGAATCATGCCGATTTCGCGGATGATGTACTCGCTGTCCGGAGACTGTTGGCGCAGGCGGGCCATGTTGTGAACTGCCTGGTCAACCTTGCCTTGCTTGACAAGAAAGCGTGGCGACTCCCACTGGAAGAACATCAAGATGAAGATGAGGCCACTCATCATGATGTGCAGACTTGTGGGGATAAGCCACTGGTCTGCGCTGCTATCGCTAAAATGCAGCTGGCATCCATAGTTGGCGAAGTAGGCCAGCACGATGCCGAGATAGACGGCACCAGTGAAGAAGCACGTACACAGACCACGAATTGACGCAGGCGCAATCTCGGCAACGTAGATGGGACTATACGACGAGAACAACGCATCGTGTTAGTTAGTCTGTACACGTATAGAAGGGTGGGTGGTATTGCCAAGGTTGATACTAACCCAACAACAGGTGTCTGTCCCACACCCAGACCGGCAATGAATCTGCCAGCGTAGACGGCGCCCAAATTACCACGAGAACCTCCAATCATGAAAATCATGATACCAACGGCCCAGGTGACGCACAGCACTCGCGTGGCATTGATGCGTCCGATGCGATCACAGATTAGGAAGGCGCTGCATGAAGAAAAAATTAATGGTCATTCTGCAAGAAATCGTAGCAGCGGTTGTGGAGTGGTGGGGCGCGAGATAAAGAGGCGGTGACTGTGACTTACATCAAAGCCCCAGCGACGGAGCCAATCTGCACCATGGCAGAGACATTAGCCTTAATGTTGGCCTGGTCCACCTCGTCGTACGAGGCATAATTGATGGATTCCTTGAAGTTGTCTGAGTTGAAGGCGCCCGAGATCAGACCCTCGTCGATGCCTCGCGCAGCACCAAGCAGTCCAAAGGAAAAGACTGCAAACCAAAGGCGCCAGTTCAGCGCTCCCTGTGGCTCTCCCAAGTCTTTCAACCTGAAGATGTTGACCGGTTTCTTTGCCCCAACACCCATCTTGGCGGCCTTGACGCAAGTAACCAGCACCGCGAAAAAGACAAGGTGATGAAAGTCTGATGGCGAGATGCAAGGGCTAAAGACAAAGATGTGAGACGTGCACCGGATGGCGAGTCGAGTGCTGATCTGTAGAGGTCTCACCTTGGGAGGGGACATCTCTCGCTTTATATTCCCTGGCATCCACACTTTTATTGAAATCCCTCGCGCCTGAAAACCACACAGCTGGCACACGAGTAATCACCTCCTCCAGTAGGATGTGTCCACATTTGCAATCTATCGGAGGACCCCGGATGGTTGTGTAGCCCAGAATAGACGATCCGGCCCCCATCGCGACACCACGCTGGCGTCTGCAGCCGAGTCACAGCCACGTCGTGGCCAGAGCCTGACCGACGGTGATGGAAAATGCGCCATGCCATGCTAACCGGCCATGCAACAGCTTATACCCCGCATATCGGTCTTCTGAAACTGTCGATTTCTCACTCAAGAATCCCAGCAACAGGACCACCGGTGATCCATAACAACTCCACGAGTTTGCCGCCGATGACGAATGAAACGGATGGAGCGTAGCGCCCCGGACGACGCCCAGTCATGTCAAACTGTCGTAGATCCGTGCTGACTAGTCTGTTGGCTACCGGCCCGCCAAGAAGTTTAATACTCTAATTAATCCGGGGTGTGATGAGGGGAACGAGGCCGACCACCGGGACGAGTTGGGGGACTGTGGGGGGTCGGACAACCTCCGTGTTGCCTTCGGTGAAAAACCAAGTTTTTTTTTCGATCTCCAGCTTCACTTCCGTGTTTTCCTCTAGCTGATGACCTTCGTCCTAGCTGAGGATGATATGCAAGCTGTGTATGCATGCGTCCAGGGATGGTGAGCTGCGGAGTGGTCAGTGCAGATCGCAGGTTCATGTGTCCATTTTACATGCAGCTGACCGATCACTTCCCAGGCCACAGAGAGCTGGGAATCGCCAATAAACATGATTCAAATCGTCATGACGGCGAATCAGGTTGAGCGCAGCGCAGCAAAGCATTTCTCCATCTCTATCGAATCAAGCCCGTTCAATATCGAACGGCCATCGTTCCTATCCGTAACATGATGGCTTCTCCAAATTCGCTGCCTTTTAGCTCGCCCGCTCGTCAGCTGGCTGCTGTAAAGTCCCACAGAATAAGTGTTTGCCGATGCCTCAGCCCAAGTTCTTTTCGCCCCTGGCCTAGCTTCGAGGTGTGACGACTGCCACGGGCCTCTCCGAGAGGGGATTTTCTGAAACCATGTAATTGGGGTAATGTTCTCTAGCATGCGAGTCATTCTCGTGCCGGGTCTCTAGCAGACTCGTGGCAACCGTTAAATAGTATAGCGAATCGGTTCTCCGACCAAATCCGGCGCCGGTTACCATATCAAGTAACAGCCATGGCAATCCTCTGGAAAAATTCTATTCTTCATATCCAATATCGACCCCAGAGGGCGTATTCCTCCTTAGTGCCTCGGAATTGAAATTTTACCTCGGTCACATCCTGAAAGCCTTCTTTTTCCTTTGGCTCTTTGAACCTTGATGCAAATCCAGTAAAGGCCAGCTTAGGCAGGATCTCTCTCTTCTCCGGATTGAGTGTAGCATTGTTCGCTCGAACTGCATCGTTATGTTCACATACTACTACTGGCGTTGAAAACCAGACACACCGGATTGGAACGCCTGCCTTTTTTGCCACCTCGATCCACAAAGCCCGCGTATCGGGATCTGGGTTGGTGTTGTCTGTACATTCATGTAAGCATACGTGTAAAATCCATCAGTGTGAGACAGGTACGGCGCCGCTAGGCACTTGGATGTGACCCCAGAAAGGGAATAGCACGTACCAACAGCTACAGATTTGCCCTCTTTGAGCAAATCTCTGGCAGCTTGGATGCATTTGTCGCGGGACTTTAGAGTATCTTGATTCACTCGTTCATACCCGAGCGGCTTGAGACATTTGAAATAAAATGTACTCTTGCCCGCTCCGGGAGGGCCGCAGAATAAGACGACATCTTGGTCGTTTTTCCTCTCAAACAGGTCATTGGCAGTGTCGGCTTCTCCGTCTTCGTCTGGGAGTGTAAAATTTACTAGGTCAAACTCCCGAATGAAGTCTCTGGGCTTCTCTCCCAGGAAAAACTCTTCGGGTGTTAGATAGTCGATGCCAACATTGTGTGCGAAATTCCTGTCGGAACAGCTAAAGTCCTTTGCTATTGCTGCAGCAGCACCACCGTCTCCTTTGCCAAGAACAGCGATGCGACCCCCTGCATCGCCGATAAAGAAGCTTCCTTTTAGATCCACCTCTTCTTCAGGAATCTCAAGGTCATCGCAGAGTTCTTTCCACATGCCTATCCTGGGCTTTCGATAGATATCCTTTGCTGTGGCTGCATAGACAGATGTGGGGAGGTCGAGACTTGTGAGCACAGCGTTGCATTTTTGTTTGAATTCCGCGACACGCTTCTGAGCAGATGCCTTTGGTCCCTTGTAGTTTGCTTCAAAGTGCAGCGTCAATCCAGCCTGGTTGGAGAGAATCACGACGTGGTAGTTTTCCTCTTCATACAGCTCTCGCAGCCGACCAGGGACTCTACTGTCCCACCACTTCCAGTCGGCTGCATTGGAAGCGTGCTTCTTTCCCGACGATGTAGTAATGAGCGTCGAATCGAGGTCAAATGCGGCAATCTTTCGTCGCTTCTGGTGGGCTGTGTCGTCTTGTTTCTCGGGCTGGTATCTGCCTACCAGGAGGGTTGCGGGAACGTCATCGGAGGGGCCTCGTTCTGACCATATCGTTCGTTCTTTTGGCTTCTGGGAGGCTGGAGTGAAGAAGCTCGCGACGACGGATTCTGATGGGCGGTATTAGCCATAAACTGTAACCAGAATGCAAGAATCACGCAGGCCTTACTTGTCGTCGTGCTCTTGACAGCTTTTTTGAGGGGCGGAGGGGAAACGGGAGCGCCAGGATCTTTTCGCTTCCTCGGGGGACCTTTGGAGGCCATTGTTCGACTGTGAAAGAAGCCAAAGAGACGCGCGTATGCTCTAATATCGTGTACAGGAGACGGCCGGCGCAATAGAAGCATGTGCATCCAGTGATGAGAAGTTGCTGAGCAGTTGAACCAAGGCGGAACCGAAGCCGAGACGAGACGCGGCGCATGTGCGACTGAGGCGCGTGATCACGTGCAGCTTTGAGAGTCACTTAAGCTTTCACATCGTCCACGTATTTCAAGACTGGCAGTTGAATCTCGTCAAATCGGCATTCAGCGCTTGATAACGTCTCCAATTTCCATCAACCACGCGGGATTCGGTTAATGGTTTACCGCGGCCCATCTCAGCCTCGAAACCGATAGATTTTCGCAGTCATTTCTCTCGATTGGGTGCACAGCCTGGCTTCATCATGTACGAGCTGTTCCTCACGGCCCTCGTTGAGGACAGCGACATCAACACGGCCCTCGCTGTTCTAAGCGGTTTCTGCTCTATGCAGCCATGGGAATCCGTGAGCCGAGTCATTTATTTCCAAGGCCCTTCTCGTCCGTCCGGAATCACCAACCAGCGCTCCTTTGAGAAGCCTATTCGCAAAGAGGCCGCCCTGCTCTGGAAGGAATTGCATCAGAATCTCTCTCGCCAGTCATTTGTCCTCCAGGCTCGCTATGAAATCTACAAGGATCGAGACTTGGGTCCTTCTGCCGAACCAGTTGATCTCGACACCGTGCCAGGCATCCTGAGATGGACAGACTTTCCAGATCCCCCTCGGAATCAGCCGATTCTCGCTCAACGCAAAAAGGTCGAGCTTTGGGAACAGAGAAAGCTACTCTCTGTGCTACGAGAAAACAATCATCAGTCAGTTCTATTTTATCCTCGTAACTCTCATTCCATACTAACAAACCCAGGCTCAAAACAGAGACAATAGAAGAAATGTACCGCTTCTTTCGCGATGATGTGGAGTTCTGTCTCACCAGGCACTACTTTGTCGGGCCGCTTGAGGACTATGTTCCCCTTGCATCCAAGCCGTCTCCCCCAACGGAACCAAAGTCTGCTCTGCCAGCTTGGGAGTCTCTCACTCGGGTTGATTCGCAGAATCGCTGGATTCTACAAGTCAAGGCCCATGTCGTCCAAGACAACAAGCCAGATGAGATCAAGAAGGCGCAGGACCAGCTTTTGAAGTTTCGCACAGATCTAGAAGGCGTTTTCGATTTCAAAGTCATTGACCGCAAAGTACACGACACTCGAGTGGTCATGCAGCAGCAGGGCGTTCAGGTACTCCCGCAGAAAGTGCTTCTGGGGAAGTCATGATTTCGATGGTGTTTTGTGCCGACCTCCGGATTCGGCCGGGTAATATCATTTCTCTTTCGTCTACAACTCGAATACCACATTTGCGTTCAGTGTCAATAGCAACCAAGTAACGCCACCGTAACGCCGCTACGCCAAATCTTACAACTCTACGCAACAAACCGCTAAGCAGAAGCAGTTATATACCAGACACGGACTCACGAACCAACCAATACCTCACGCCTTTCGCACAAGACTACCATGGGTCCCTGCTTTTAGGGGTCTAAACACAAGGGAGCCTACATCGGATCATGGCGAATCTACGGTCAATGTGTGAGCGGTTGGCAAGTCACGCAGCCATAGTAGGAAGATAAATTCTAAGAAATGGGTATCTTCAATCGCCAGACACCCCAAAATGCTCGTATATTGCAAGTAAGGCTAGTTAACATGAATCACAACTGCATTATACCATGTGCAGAAACTAGCGTTTCCGCTCCCTCCATTAGAAAGTGTTTCCCTTACTGGACAAGGCCAAGGACCTCGGTGAGGTTGTTGACGCCAAGAGCGACCTCAAGGGTGGTAAGAGAACCGCCGGTGGCAGCGTTGAGGTATGCGTTGACAGCGCTGATATCAACACCTTGAGCGACCATGGCAAGAGCCTCGCCAACAATCTGGACAACGTTGTCGATGTCGGCGGTGGCAACAACCTTGCCCTCAACACCCTGGACAAGGCTGACAAGCTTGGCAGCCAGAGTCACGGGAAGAACAGCCTCGATCTAGGAATCAATAGTTTAGCACTGTACATGTAACGGGACCGGCTGGGTTCTCGGCTTACCTTCTGGACAATGGGGCCCAGGAGGGCGACAAGCTGGGCCTCAAGGGCGACGACATCGACCACAACGCCCTGGGTGATTCCACCGAGAAGGCCGCCAACGTCGCTGACGAGAGATCGTCGGGCTGTTGAGCAGTTAGCAAGAGCGACTACCGATGAGAATGGATGGTTCACGAACCGAGAGGGGCGGCAAGGCCAGTGCCGACGACGAGGAAGAGAGCAGCGAGTCCGAAACGCATTTTGGCGGTATTTGGAAGGCAGAAAATAGATTAAAGGAGTGACTGAAGTTGTGAGAACTTCTGAATTGTTTGAGTTGCTGTGCAAAGGAGTGACTGAAAGCGAATTGCTTGCTGATGATGATGATGAGAATTCGTGGGTGAATTGGTCTTCTTTATATCCTCCGACTTGTCTCCTTTGTTGCTCCCGGGCCTGTTTTCGACATCATCTCCTTGAGTGATCGGCAGTCATCTCATTAAGCTTGGTCATATGTATCAATATGCGAGCTATACCCTGCAACTGAGGTTCTTCTTGACAGGCTCGCTTAGGTATCGAGACAGGCATCACGATTAGAACTCTGGTAGAATCTTCAGCAGCACCAGGGGAGCGAGACATGAAGCGCCCAAGCATGGTGCAGCGTCTCGTGGGTTAGTCTCATAATCCGACGATCTGGTCGCACATGAGTCGCTTGCTGTGCGGAATGACATGGGAAGCCGCTAGAATAAAGGGGCGCAGAATGAAGATCGCAAGCTCTCTTCACGCTTGGATGTGTGGAGAGCTTAGGAGGTCGCTTTAACCAATTTCCCAGCGCTTTCTAGGGTGATGGGATTGTGAGAGGACGGAACAGCTTGGAGGGAACAGGGTGCTAGCATTCAATATGCCGGCAGTGGTTGACGCCAGAATGTCAAGGAATGACCAAATATGAGGCACAGGGTATTCCAGCCAGAGGCCGCACGCCATGTTAGGAGTCAGGCTCTATTCGGAAACGACGAGATTGTGATGGACCTGGCAATGGATACCCCAGACCGGGATTGATCTGCCCCACGATCGGCAGATTCTTAGTGCTGTGCTAAAGAACAATGCCAGCCAGGACTGCGACGTTGGTTTGACTGAATTGATGAGCAAACGGAAAACTCCGTTTCGATTCTGTCAAGCTTGTTTAGCAGTCTACCAGGGTTATCCCGAGTCATGCTTTTGTTGATGCAAGTTGATCGAAGCCAACGTTTGGCGACTTGCCTGCGGGTCCGCATACAACTCACCGTTTACACCATATCTACCTCAACGCCGATGCGAATTCTACTATCATCAGTTATTCCTTTGGTATGCGAGAGCAGAGACTTTGTCCGACTTGATATCTTCATCAATACAGCATGCATCTTGCAAAAGTGGAAGAAAACAGCATGAATCTCTGCGAGAGCCGTAAAAGTCCCCACCAGATCGGCATGCATGCATGGTACCCATGGTACCAGGCACATCCCAATAACAGCAATCTCTTAAATAGGGACAACGACGTCAGAGAAGCGGACAAAGGGGCTGATGCTTAACCGGGAGAATAGCCGGTTCCTGAATATCGCTATGCCTGTCCTCTTTGAGACTGAGATTTGCATCTCCGGCTTTTGAGCTAATTTGACTATGCATTGCGATCAGCAGAGTACAGATACGGCCAGGTGCTGGATCATGTGCGCGTCAATGATTGAATAGATCAACATTCAAGCAATGGAGAGGATAGTCCGATGCCATGATTCCCGCGGTGGGAAAAGTATACAAGCGATGAAAACTGTGCGTTGGGACGGGCCTACAAATGAGCCAGGTAAGTCCCGATGATCTCAAACACATCCATTACTGCTGTCATTACTGAATAGCTTAGAACATGAATGATATCATGCTGTTTGATTTACATTGATAGCGTCTTTCCATGTTTGGACATGCAAATCAAGCCTCATGTAAAGAAAGACCCCAAGGCCGAGCAATGCCACGGCGGATCCTCCCGTTTCTCCATCGGCTTGGCATCGAAATGCCGAAAAGTATGCCAAGCTACAACAAGTTTTGATGGGCGTGTCCGCTTTTCTAAGTAGAACATGATGAGTCTTTGGACTCGGTGTTCCGTGTTCCAACAAGAATTGCATCTAGATGTCAATCCGGAGTGATGGAAGATGACAAAGGCAGAGACAATACAAAGGCCTGTAATAAACAGAGCGATACAAGCCGTTCTTTGTTCATGCATTAAATTGCATGATGAAGACGTTGTGACGCAAAGCTGGTGGAAATCAAACAGGTTGAAGCCGCGATAAACGTCAATCCGGCTCTAGTTCCCAAGAGTAAGGTATCGTATATTACAAGTCGAAACCAGGTCATTTAGCTCCAGACACGCTCACATCACGGCGTTCCTTCTACAACTTTAATGTGAGGCCACTTCACATTCTTGAGTTGCGTATTTCGCCGTAAAAAGTTCTCCAACCAAGCTTTCCCAAGCGGCTCATCATCGCCACCAGCCTTGACAACTTTAGCCGCGAAATCTCTGACCTCTTGGTACGACGGCGGGAAGCCCAAGTCATCTGAAGCCAGAATCCACTGCGCGAGATGATGCTCTTTGTCTTTGGAAAGGCGTTGTTTGTGTTCGTTTGCCTGTCTTCGTGTGACGCCGCCGCTTAGACGTTTTTGAAGGGTTGCTCGAGGGACTTTCCAGCGTTGTGCGGCTTTTCGTTGAGAGAGGCCGTCTGAGATGTCTTTTAGTGCTGAGAGGACATTGTCTTCTGTGTATTCGGGCATGCTTTTGACCACGAGAACCGGTCAAGCTGGTGGGACAAAGGAACATTTGATCATCACGAGAAAACGCGGCTGAAGGATTGTGGTGTTGATGTGGAAAAATGAAGGGTGGCCAGTTAGCCTGGGCATGACGTTCTGACTTACCTACCCTGTGGTCAGAACGTGAACAAGAGCGGCGAGGTGAACAGAGTACTGCAGATAAATTTCTGTAGAAGAGGTCGATTCTTTGTATGATTGTTTCAGATATTGATTAATCCGATGGAACCTTTGCATTTGGTCAGATTTAGCTCCTTGATAGAATAGGCAGCAGCGGCAGATCAAGACCAACTGGGTATAACCAATGCATCAATCACGCATACTTCTTACAACGTGAGAAGACACAAGTTTTATTCTATACATCATTCTCTTTCATTGATACGCGTTGCGCCCAAGCCTTCGCATTATCCAGCATGAAGACTTCCGGCACAAAACAAGTCTGTAAACATTCGCAGCTTTACTTGGACGTCTCACCACATGCCAGCACAGTGGGCTTCAAACGCGCAACAGAGAGACAACGCATCATCGCAGCAACAAAAGACGGACGCTTCAGGAAAAATGTCAATCTGCTGACGCCGAAAGAGCTCTTTGAAGACGAAACGACGTTTCCTGGTCCATTGATCCTCCCAGATGATGACCTTGCCGAAGATCCAGAGTATCCGCCACAGGATTTCCGTGAATGGAGAGACGAAGAAGAGCGAAATCCAGTGACCCGAGAAAGGAAGACCATCTACATCATGCCAAGTCCATCAATTACACAGCAAGTGTACAAAATGCAGACATGGTCCGTCTGCACCTCTGAGAATGCAGCAACAAACCGGGCCATGCAAGCAGCCGAGCCGCCGAAGCTCCAAGATATTCTGGAGTACCTGTCCGCCTTCTTCCACGGCATGGACGTGAAACTCTTCACAAGACCCTTTCAGTGGAAGAAATGGGACAAGTACGCCGGCACAATCCTGAAAACTCCCGACACCGAGCGCCGCATTGGACTCATGACGCCGAACAAGGAGCTCTTCGGCATCCGGTGCCGTGCGTCCCCAGATGGCGTGTCTCCCATGCAGGTCAACTTGGACGACATGCTGGACGCTCTGGCAGAAAACGTCCCGTCAGACGCACACTCTGTCATGATGCTGCTCGACATGGACATGTACGAAGGAGACGGCGACATCTTCACCGCCGGCCGTGCATACGGAGGCAGCCGGATCGCTGCCGTCTCCCTCTTCCGCGACCACCCGCTCTGCGCACCTCCCGACGACGGCCATGCATGGCCGGCATCTCACTGCGCCGCCTACATCGATCAGCTCTGTCACGAAGCCTCCACCAAGCAAGCAAAACGGCAACCCCCTCAGTCCCAACGGCGAGACGGTGGCGGTCCCCTACACGTGGCAATCGAAGCAGCCACCATCCATGCCGACGGCAAGATGCCGTCAGAAGCCCCAACCGCCCAATGGCTCGGGCGAGTGGTGGTGACCATGGCACACGAACTGTGTCACTGTCTGGGACTGGACCACTGCACGTACTTTGCGTGTGCGATGCAGGGGTGCGGCAGCGTCGACGAGGCACAGCGGCAGCCGCCGTACGTGTGTCCTGTCTGTCTGGAGAAGCTCTGCACGGCGATGGGGGAGGGTGTTGTTGACGGGTGGGAGGACGAGAGGGCGAGAGACGGGTTTGTGAGGGAGCGGCATGAGGCGTTGAGGAGAGTGTGCGGGAGATGGGGGGATGCGAGTGTGTCGAGGATGTTTGCTGGGTATGGGGCTTGGTTGGATGCTGTGATTGAGCGAGGTTTTGAAAAGAATGTGATTGTTATTGATGACTGAATGGGTTTGGATCAACAGGATTGTGTATGGGGTTTATAGAAGGAGAAGCTGGGCTGAGATGTAACTCTTGGAGAATGAGTGATGCCGATGAACATGCTGAAGATAGCTAGCAAGTACTCAGACATCAACACTTGACTATGACACATCAAAGATAGGTATATCAGATCCATCACTGCGGTAATGAAACATGGTAATATCAACGTGTTCGGGAACTACTACATGTAACCATCAAAAGACGTCAATACGTACAGTGACGCAAGTCACGAGTAAGAGCTGAGATATTCATAACCGGGAGACAGCCAGTTACCTATCAATTCACAACTGAGATGTGCACTATTGAAGCATGTACAGGTAGTTGTCAACTTCAGAGTCGAAAACTTGCAAGCAATTCTCCCGAAGCCATCACCGCAGACGCTCCAGCTGTTTGAAGGAGTTTACGAAGCGGAACAGACATCAAAGGCCGTGTGGCTCAATGGCAGAGCGTCTGACTACGATTTAGTACATCAGGAGGTTGCAGGTTCGACCCCTGTCTCGGTCAAGATTCTTCTTTTTTGTCGCTTTCTCGTCTTTTAGATAAATAAAGGCGCAATTACATGCCATCTTCGTTTTTTTCGTCTTTTTTTTTTGCAATTGCTTCACAATATTGCGGCATGGAGCAATTCTCCCTCTTGAATATGCCCGTCCACTGATTGTGTCTCTTACTCGTATCTCTGGGTAGCATCAACTCAAGCTCACCCCATGCCGTGCTATGTGGGGGACGAAAGCGTGCAAGTCATGACAATTGTCCGAGGCGATTCAGGTTTCCAATTCACACAAACACAAGAGTAATGGTGTCGTCATTCCTAGCTCTGCTGCTTGGCTGTGAGGCCCTGCGAGCATCTAGCAAGAAGAAGAAGAAGAAGAAGAAGAAGAAGAAAACTCTTCAAGCCCAAGCTAGCAGAGCTGGTGCCGCCCTCCATGTCCCGAGATGCGTGTGTGCCAAACAAGGCATTGGATATAACAGCCCGACATCACATTGTCCTTGTCCCGTACTGTACGAGCATGTACGTGAACAGCCCCCGACGATCCTTCTTGGTCACTGTAGCACAGACAGACGAGGCTCCGATTGGCCGATGGGCAGACGATGGGTGAGACATGAACAGAGCTCAGTTGAGTTGATACCCAGCTCGACGCACGCTAGGCCAACATGGCTGCGGCCTGTGAGAACAAGAACAGCCTCGGGATGCCAGTTGGTCACGTCTGCAGGCGCGCGGCCTCTTTGTTTTCCTCGCTTCGCTTTGAGAGCCTGCTTGCTTGCTTGCCGCTCAGTGGAACACGTTCACGTTTATTCATGCACGATGCATTGTGCGTATTTGTATTTACCCGTGGCTCGGAAGGGGTTTGTGAGCCGATGGCACATGCTCGTACATGCACACCACCGTCGCATGCGGGCAACATGCGACTCTCTCCGTCTCTTTGTCTCTCTCTTACATACAACCTCAACTTGACACGCTCGTAAAAACAACAAAATGGCTTCCCCCCCTCCATCCCATCCCATCCCACCTTCAGCCTAGCCGGTGTGCAGGGCTGGGCGAGACTAGCCGAGAGGACAAAGCGGGAGGGCTTCCGACAATCCACAGCTGCAATGGTTCGCCCTATGGAATACGCACACATGCAAAGCGCCGATGCAATGGGACGTTGCTGCAGACATTTGTCGCCAAATAGCAGCCCACGGTAACGGGACATGCAGAAGGAAAAAGCAGGCGGATAGGCAAATTGGTACTCGTAGACCAGACCATACAGTACAGTAGTGTAGTAGGTGTATAGTCGTGGGACCCCCCCTCCCCCTTCAACGGCGAATTACGGCTCGCCACACTTTGGCGGAGCTTGCTTTGCTTTGCTTGCTTGCTGGGAGCAACGAGAAAAGAGAAAACAGAGAGAGAGAGGTTGACAGACGAAAAGGACTTGCAGCTCTCCCTCCCCCCATGTCACGGCGGTGAAGGAGAGGAGGCTTTGCAGCTCTCGCTTACGCCCGTGCATACAACAGAGGACCATGGAGAGAGCGCGATGGCCACTTGGCAGCCATCAGATTGGCCTGGAATTCGAGTTCCGAAAATGCCAACGCAGATGCCTCTCGTCCGCTTTGCCGGGGTTTCTCGATCCGCGCGGCGCAAAGTTGGTTGGGTTGGGTCAGACCACACGAACCTTGATCGAGCTTTGGTGTTTTTTTTTGGAATTTTGGCCCAACCAGCGTTCTGCCAAACGTCTCCGGCCAACCAGAAGCCGAGAAGAAGAAGAAAACATCTCTTGTCGTGTTGTTTATTAGCGAGTGGAGAGCAAAAGAGTCCGTTCGGGATGATGCGATAACGGTGCCTTTCGAAGTTCCAACACGAGCATCCGGCCACACGGGACGTAACCGACGAAGCTCCAGTCCAGCCATTTCATCATGACGGCGTAGGTGTATCGTTCTCGTATGTCAATAGAAGCAAAAACGAGTCTCCGTTTTTTTCGCATCCACCGTGTCGCTCCAAGCTCGGCGATGGAAACCCCGTTAGAACAAAGTTGCCACGCCCGAGGGACGCCGTTGAGATGCCAAACCGTCTCTGCGAAAAAAACGGAGCCTGTCAGGAAATAACGGAGGCCCGGAATAGCTAGTTGTTCAAAACTTGTTCAGTTCTTTTTTCTTCTTGGCCAGCCACAGTGGAGCAGCAACAAAGTTGGCTCTTTGTAGCGTCGGGTTTTGTGTCATTGACGAGTTTTTTTTATTCCGCAACGTTTGAATGGGTATTGGTGTGTGGCATGTGAGAAAGGACAAAGGGGGAGGCGGTTTTGCCTGGGCCAACAATTGAGCAAGAAAAAGAAGAAGAATTCATTGACGGAATGTCTCGTAGTGTCTGATTGTCCACGTCACAAGGACAATTTCAACACAAATGTTGCTTTCCTGTTCCTAATTCTCCCGCAAGATCGAACAATGCCTCTGTTGGAAGCACACTGTATAGGAGGCTAGATTACTCGCACTTTTTTTTTTTTTTTTTTTTTTTTTTTTTCAATTCCACGCAGGGCAGAAAAGGAAATCTCTATGCACCAAATACACCATCCAGTAAATCATCACTCGCCAATCAAGGAACAAACTCCTTGGTTTCAATTGCAAAAGTCAACTCCCAGCACTCT